CTGATGATATGATTAGTTTCTGGAAAGAAATGCACCTAGGGTGACCAGACAGCAAGTGTGAAAAATCGGGACAGGGGGTGGGGGGTAATAGGAGCCTATATAAGAAAAAGACCCAAAAATCGGGACTGTCCCTATAAAATCGGGACATCTGGTCACCCTAAATGCACCACATCTAACAGTAGCCATTCTCCTAACATCTGATTGCCTGTATATCTAGTTATGTGTAATTGTAAGACTATCTGTAATAATTCCATCTTGTGACTCCCAATAATATGACACACCATGGGGCTTGTCTGTAAAAACACAGCTGGAACCAAACACAGAAATAAAAAATCCACAGAACTGGGCTGCATTAGGGAATTAAAAACCAGTGTCTCTCCAGTTTGGTATCAGCTGAATGGAGGCAACAAAGAGAAAGACATTTGCTAGTTCACAGATCTAATCACAATGGCTTTCCATGTATAATCTGTGAAAAAGAAAAGCTAGAAACCTTTTTTTAAATTACAGATCATATGTTTTAGTTCATTACAATTGAGCAAAGTCAGTACTGTTATATTTTAGCAAAAGAAAATAATAAGGAGTTGGCTAAATGTCCTGTAGCCATGTTTGTAGTGCTAATGTACAGTAGCACTTTCATCGGTCACACTAATAGTCTAGCTTTTTCAGAAAGTTTGTTGATATTTAATACTAAAATAATAAATAATAAATTCAATTTTCATTAATGCAGCAAGCCAAGTGGGTATTTACTGTAGCAGGGTATCCTGATATTGTTCATTTTACTAAATTTATCTGCTTTGGGAACCATGCTAGTGATTAACCTCCAAAGCAGGGGAATCATTGGAGATGGAAGACAACGTATGTGTTGGAGAGACTTGTATGAAGGGACGTGAGTCTTTTGGTTTGACTTTTTTTCATTTTGCTATAAAGCTGATTTTCCCCATCCCGCCCTGAGTAACTTTGAGTTGCCCTCCCATTTACACATGTACTCTGTAAAGTACAATGCTAGTGGAGAAGATATTTAAAAAGCTCTCTGCATTTAAGATAGTGCTTGGAGCCAGTAAGGGACTGTTCTCAAATGATATGGCAGACAATGAAGAGAGGGTTGAAGTATAGTGTTCTGTTGAACACAGTAGTTAAAGAGTACCGTGTTTACATTTTCAAAAGCTTGGGTGCCTGATTTTCAGAGATTCTGCTGAGAACCCACAAATGCAGCTGAAGTCTGTGGGAGCTGCATATACTCAGCACTTTTGAAAACCAGGCCAGCAGCATCTAAAAATGATCATTCAAAAACTGAGCAAGAAGAGTAGAGAGAGTTTTTGAAAATTTGTCCCTAACTGCTTTGTTGAAAGTCACAAAGCAAGTCAAGGACAGAGTTCTGAATAGAACCCAGCTTCTGGCTTTCAGTCTGGTGTCCTAGCACTATACCCCAGGATCTTCTCAGTGTAGCAACTACCTCTCTCTCTTTCTGAGTTTTCCCATCACCCAGAAAAGGTGCTTATGTGAGCCATGGGCATGAGGCATGCTCCAAAGTCCAATTAAGTCAATAATTATAGCTGCACAAAACACAAATATTGTTTACATTTCAATCCACAAGTCTGAATACAACACCACAGCAAGCTGTTTGGGACACACACACCCCCTTTTTTTAAATGAATACACATTGCTAAAGGAAACCTCAGCGTGCTCCTTTTGGCTGATTATGTCAACTTTGTCCCATTCTGGAACATCACTGAAAGCCAATCATTTATATTACATCTCATAAAAAAGAGAGGGAATCGAATTGCAAACAAGTATAATTCACATGACACAATGTGCCAAAAATGCATTTCACCCTGTTTTAAAAACTGAAAATGGAGTGATTTCTGCCCATTTCCTTGAGTCTGTGCCTGACAACACAGGGGAAGGTGCACACTTTTATATGGCTGAATGGGCTCCTCTACATATCCCCTATCAGAACTGGTAATTGCATTGCAACACACTTGGCCTTCGGGTCCAATAAAAACAATCTGACTTAAGCCACGTATAACTGAGCCTGCATGTACGTATGAAAACAGCCTCACATTTTTTCTTTTTAATAGCTTATTTCCTTTCACCTATAGTGGCCTATTGCTACACATCCTTACTCAGGGCTTTAGTCTCACCCACATTACAAAAATTGGGAGGGGAAAAACCCATTTAGAAACTTCATAGGTCTGACTCTCCTCTATCTTGTACCTTTTGTAGTCACCTGGGCAAAGTCAGCACAAAATGCTCCTAGATCAGAATTCTACAGTCACCTACACTGCTTACAGTGGTTTACACCCATTTTGTACAGGGCTAATTGACTGTGCAAGGTACCAAGCATTGGCAAATCAGGCTCATTGAGTTTCAAGAGATTTATGACAAAAGGAGAAGTCAGGGAGCAGATTCCAAGGTCATGCAGGCCAATCCCTGTGGGTATTTAGGGCCTCTATGTGACACGTTGGTTCCTTCTATAGTGCTGTGTGGCCACTGGCCAGCCTTCACCTAAGAAGCACAGCTCCCATAGAAGCCCTGTTTCTCTTGACTCCTCTGACTGTGAAATACTTCTCTCCCCATTTGATTTGGGGAAAGTGATGAGCAGAAGGCAATGCTGCTAAAAGTAACAGACTTCTGCGTTGGTATCATCCATGACTTTGCATTATGAAATCCAGGGCCTCTTCAACTCTTTGTTTTGCTCCTTCCCACACACCCTGCAATGAAGGGGAATGTAGGGCTCCCCATTTTGTCTGACTAGGACCAAGGATCCTACACTCCCTCAATTACGCGGCACAGAGGGGCGTAAATAAGTGACTAAAACTGTCCCAAAGGAGTGAAAGAGAGGGCCTCCACAGCATGCTCTCCTCCCCCGACATTCCTGGCATTCCTCCTCAAGTTGACAGGAGTCTTTTCTTAAAATTTCTCACCATTGCTACCACTGGGGCAGCTCATTTTTTACCTAGGCCTTATTTAGACCAGACAACATTGAAGCCAATGGGTGTATTGCTTGAGTAAGGACTAATGGTTTAATCCATGCTCAGGGCACTTAACAAAACTGCTATAAGGTGAAAGAAGGCTGTACATGCCTGTTGCCTGTAAGCTGATTTTTTTATACTTTGTGGTGTACAATTTCCTCATCATTTTTCTCAGAATTGCTTGAGCGAGCGGAAATTTCTCAATGTGAGATGTAATCATTTAGCCTTCACAGGAAGTTGCAAATGGCTTAAATAAATTTAGTTACTTTGACACATTTTCCAGCACACACAACGATTTGGGCAGAAATTGACTGTGTTTCTAACTGGTTTGGGACACAAACAGCTAAACACACAGTTCATGTTCACACTTTTAATAAGTGGTTAATAGTCAGTCAGTCAATTATAACTGTCCACCACCCTTGCCATCAACTGAATCTGGTGCATGGATTGGTTCCTGTAAAACAACGGGCATGTGGATATCTTGCTAAATACACAGCCACTTAACTGTGTCACTGTAACTGACTAAACAAGTCCTCTCTCCTCCTATAAATCCATACAGTTAGATATACCACAGTACATTTGTGTCATTCTATATGCCTGCCTTTGTGGACTCTAATCACTCATGCATAGGCTATCCTAGAGGTATTATCTGGCTGTCACCTGAACATGCTTCTCTGGAACAAAAGTTGCTACCATTGATTTAGCTCATGTTGGTACCGTATGTGTCCACATACAGATGTTACTGAAATAACTCATTAGAAATACATTAGGAAACTGATTTAGTGAAGTTGGTGCAAGTTTATGTGTAGAGATGCCCTAAAAGAAATTCCATTTTGGCTCATGCATCATCAAAGGCTTGTTAAGTGAGTTCTAATTGCAGATCCTTTTTCAGTAGTTATATGAGAACCCACTTAGCTTGACATACAGATGCCAGCTCCAGTCTGCAGGGCTGGAAGTTAACAAGCAAACACATCCCAAATCCATCTTGCTCCTTGTAAACACAGCATATTTGATATGGAAGTCATTAACATACAGAGAATATGGAATCCCACAATGCCATGTTCACAAAGTAACTTTTCAGAGCAGAACCATACCTTAAGGTTCTGAGGCCAACATGAACACACCCATTGCAATATAGCATTTAGTGACAGGTAGAGAGAAGGCTGCCAAAACAGTTTTCATTATAAATCCCCATTTTCACTTGTTCATAACTTCCTCGGAAATCCTCTTTCTGAGAAACTTTCCATGCTTGATCTCTTCTGAAGGGTGATTTTAAAAAAAATGTCAGCAATCTAGTGGAAACTATTCAACATAGACATAATTTATGAAAATGTGTGACTAACAGGTGAGAGAGGAAGTCACTACATTAATTTGATACAGATTATGCATGATAAAAAGTGCTCAGTAGATGTCTCGTATATTATGTTACCATTAGAAAAGTACTTTGAAATGTTAGGGTCCACATTAAAAAGTTTTTAAGAGTCTCAATCACATAGTTCTGTTTATTGTCAAATGAAGTACTTCAAGAAGAGGGGGAAAGCAAATAAAAGGTATATTCCAGTGTAAAATACATGGGGAAATGATGATTAGTTGTTTTATGGAGGACACTGATAATATATACCAACGTATCAGCTATTGGCTTTTGCATACAAACAAGTATTTCTACTGACAAATTTCACGCTAAGTGCACAAGGAAGGAGTTTCACCAAAAATACTAATGAAAGCTCAGTTGTGGATATCAGTTTGTTGCTAATAGCTCTCTCTTTCATTTTACAATGTTTAGAAAGACTGTAAATAGTAAAGAAAAACTAAATGTGTACGAAATTCAAACTGCAAGTTGCTCCTAATGGCTACTGAAGACAGAGGGCCTGATTCTCATTTACATTAAGGCCCCTTTGCACCACATGGTAATGTAAAGAGGCCTTCAAGTGGCTGTAAATTATATTTATGCCCATTTTAAGGCCAGTTTACACAGCACAGTGGTGTAAAGCAGCTTTAATGTAAATGTGAGTCAGACCCAGTATTTTACATAATACTATAGAATATCAACCTAATCACCTTTTTATTATGCTGGTGTACTGGTGAAAAGTATGTTTTGTACAAATATCAGAGAAACATTCATCAGAAGATAAAAAAGGACAGTAATTAATATTTAGCTTTTAAAATAAATATGTACACTATTTACAATATTTCAGAATGTTTCAGAAGATAACATATCCAGAACTATGTGAGAATGCCTAAAAATAACTCCCTATTCTTTTAATAGGAAACTATTTAATATACAAATATATATATATATAGCTAGGGTGACCAGATAGCAACTGTGAAAAAACAGGAAGGGGGAGGGGAGTAATAGGCGCCTATATAAGAAAAAAGTCCCCAAAAACGGGACTGTCCCTTTAAAAATGGGACATCTGGTTACCCTATATATTGCAGTTATTTATTTTCCCTTCAGTCAACTGTTCAAGAATTAACAAACAAGGATAGCATGGGACATTATTTTCATCAACCAAGATTCAGGTACCCAATGTCCATATCTTGAATAAAGTCAAAAATATTGTACTTCAGCTGGAAATCCTAAGAGTCCATTTGATGTTGAGAATATTTGCAGCCCATTACTCTGTTGCCATACTAGCAAGTTAGCTTAATGTATCTGATAGTCCTGTCTGCAAAGCTGCAGAAAAGCACATATATCAGTTGGTCTCAGTGATGGTGATCGTCTGTAGCATGTCCGATAGGTTTTCTGGATCTAGCTCTTCTTTGCCATTATCTGAATTTTCCGATAAGATGTAACAGCCAGAGTCTCTCGGACAGTCATTTAACTCTGACTTGTTAAAGCTGAGAACAGGGCTTAAGGACAGGGGCTGTTGCTCATTTTCATGTTCTTGTTCAGCTGTAAAAAATGAAAAGGAAAGGGTTATGACCCCCCCCTGAACAACACTTAGATGATTACAAGATTGTTCTTGGAGCACTGCAGAAACTGAATTAGCAAACTGCAGCTCTATTAGAGCTGTACCTTATATCTGTTAGAAATTGAAACCTTAGAAATCAAACGATTGATCATTTTCACTACATGATGTCAACAGTCACTGTAGCCCACTTAACATGAACATGATCCTGCAATACATTGCTCAAAGGATACCTGAACCCCGAAGAAGACAAAAGGACTGTGTATTGGTTCAAGGGTCTGCTTGTGCAAAATGGATTGCAACGCTGGGGTCTATATGTCTGGCTCTTCCCCTTTCCTCACTTTCAAAACCCTTTTAAAGACCAATTCAGTAACATCTAACATTCAATGTGCCCTCAGCCTTCTGTGATTGTAGCTGCTGTACCTTTAGGCTATAAGCCCCACAGGGCACGGATTTAGGCTATGTCTACACTATGCAGCTTTTAGCACAAAGCTGTGCCACTACAGCTATGCGGCTAAAAGGCACGCAGTGCAGCTGCTGTTTGTCGGCAGGAGAGAGCTCTCCTGCCAACAAAAAACTTCCACACTCAGCGAGCGGTGGTAGCTTTGCTGGCAGGAGAGCACTCCTGCCGACAAAGTGCTGTTCACATCGGTGCTTTTCCTCAACAAAACTTTTGTCTTTTGGGGGTGTGTGTGTGTTTTTAACACTTCTGAATGACAAAAGTTTTGTCGTTCACTTGCAAGTGTAGACAAAGCCCTAGTGTATTTATTTACAGTACTGGGAATGTTAACCATGCCATACAATTGTAAGGTTTTCAAAAGCACCCACAAAGAGGGCCAGATTTGCCAAAGAGCTCAGTTCCCATTCCAGTACCAAAATGAAGTGGCCAGCTTTTCAAAAGCAATAAGGATCAGATTTTTAAAGGTGTTTAGGTGTTGCTGTGCTCAGCATTGCAAAGCCTAACTGGGTTAGATACTTAAGTCTCATTTTCAAAAGGGATTTAGGCACTTGGGATTTCAATGGGACTTAGGCACTGAGCCTAACTCTCACTGAAATTCAAAATCCCTTTTGAAAATGAGACTTGGGCTTTGCAATGCTGAGTGCAGCAATAACTAAATACCTTTAAAAATCTAGACTTTAGCTTTTCAGTGAGAGTTGCTGGTGCTGAGCATTTCTGAAAATCTGGTCATACCTAAATAAAGGATGAGATTTTCAAAGGCACAAAGGGCAGTTAGTCACCCAACTCCCAATCATGTTGTTGAAAATCTCCCCAAATTAAATAGAAGCAAATTTCTCTTTCAAAACATTTGTCCTTATTTAGCACTTGCGCTATAATGAATAATCTGCCAGTGAATGGAAAAAAGACATACAGGTCTGTCGCATCTTACGCACATTTAACATGCGCGATTTCAGCTTTACGCAGTCAGCAAAAACAAAACAAAAAAGAGAAAAATAACAATTTTAATACTGTACTTGTAGTGCGGGCGATTCCACCCGCCATTCAACTCAATGTAATTTTGACTATACACGGTTTTCTCTTTACGCGCTAACCGCGGAACGGAACCCCCGCGTAAGATGAGACTCGCCTGTACTGCCTCAACAGGAAGAAAATAAACTGATCTCTCAACCAATTACAACCTGGTATCTCACTGAACATACCAAAATGTCATGAATTTGATATATATTTGACACAGAGAGTCACTGGTAGTTCACTACTCTATCAGCAACTCATATCAGGCCTGACATACTACACCTAACACACTGTTGGCACTCTGTATCTAAAAGCTGTCCCATAAGGTATCATAAACGAACTGGTAACATGCTGGTCTTGAAAATCATGGCATGGTGTATGCATGGGGTGTGTACAAAAGGTTATCAATACATGCTAGAATTGTGTTCTAAACATGCCTGTCAGGCAGGATTACGATACACAAGGAATGTGGTTCTGCCTACTTGACTGTGTCTCTGATGTAAATTAGGTAAGGTGTGACCAAAGACAAAGAAAAGCACATTTACTTACAAGCAGGGCCGGCTCCAGGCACCAGCTTAACAAGCAGGTGCTTGGGGCGGCCAAGGGAGAGGGGCGGCACCTGCAGCAATTCGGGGGTGGCAGGTCCCTCACTCCCTCTAGGAGAGAAGGAGCTGCCGCTGAACTGCTGCCGCCGATCGCGGCTTTTTTTTTTTCAATTGCCGCCGCCGATCGCAATCGCAGCTTTTTTTTCTTTTTTCCAGAAATGCTGGAACCAGCCTGGATACAAGGCAAACAAAGCCACCAGGAGAGCAAAAGGGGAAAGAGGAATAGTCGTAAGAGAGTTATTGTGAAATTTTTATATGTAATGATCAGTTTTGTTCTCAATTAATACTATATTTGTTAATGATGACAGCTTTATAGTGAACATGAATCCTGTGTATTGGTGGTAGAGTAGATTATGTGCATTTACAGAATGGTCATATATAGCATATGTCTACCAGGAGGCTGGGGTCCAGATTGTATTTACAGTGTGCATTGCTGGTGCACCAGGAAGAATTAAGGCTTTGGATGCAAAACCCTCCCTGGAAAAGGCAGGCATGCAAGGAAGATTCATAGATAGTCATTTCAAAGCAATCACAATATTTCATTCAAAAAAACTGTAAAAACTGGACATTTTGGCATTGTTGGAACTTTTTTCTTTTTCCTTCTAACCAAAATTCTGGCAAAATCAACCTGATTTCACAAAGCATTTCAGTTTCCAAAGAATTGTGTAGTCTAACACAATATGGTACCATCAAAGTATTTCCAACCAGCTCGAATTGTAATCATCTACCCTGAAACTCCTGTATAACACGTCTGCATCAAGACCATAACCGCTTTTGAGGTACAGATTATCTTTTTAGAAAGCTATCCATTCTTAATTTAAAGACTTCAAGTGATGGAGAATCCACCATTTCCCTATGTAAGTTAATGGTTAACTATCCTCATTGTTAAAAAGGTGCACCTTTTGTCAGATTTGGCATTGTCTGTAACTATTTCATCCTCTCCCCACCTTACAGAGGATGGTTTGTCATATGAAATTTCACCTCTTTTTGTAGGGAAAATTTTTGGTAACATATCAGGCCAAGTTAATTTCTGGAGTAACTCCAGTAACTTAAATGGAGTTATACCAGGATTATTAATTAATTAATTAATTAATTATTAGTTAATCACAATAATAGAGGATACATATGTGATGCCTAACCTAGCTTTTCTATTAGCTCATGCTACATTTCAGCCAATGCCAGCAAAAAACCAAGTCTGCGTGGTCACTGTGTGCTTACAGAATTCAGCAAGTTATTGTATGAACCCTTCCTTAGATGCTGAACTCAGTAGTTTTTCCTATTCCTCAACTGTAATCCCAGGATCATTTATATTACCACTTGCAAGTGCTTTTATCAGCTTCTGTAGAATCATCTCTCTGTCCCCTCAAGCAGTGACCTAAAATAGTGTTAATCCTGTTTACATCATTCTGGTCAAAGAGGAAGCTTTGTCTATTTCTTTCTTTTTTTCTTTTTTCAAAGTGAGCAGGAAGAGACAGTTATTGCTGGAATTTTTTTTAATTCCATTTTTTTTGGTCATCCTATTTGTTTCCTTTTCATTAAAAGATGACTTTTTAACTATGTTCTGAAGAGTATAACTTCTTGTGCACAACTGGATATGTTGGGAAGACACAAATGCAAAAAACCCACATCATGTCACAATGACAGATCACATTTGGACCAAAAATGGCAGGAGCTGAAACTTCTGTAAGAGGACTATGTATGCATTTTTCCTCTGGCTTTTGAATTATTGTGTGCTGTGAATATATGGTAGTCTTGGGTAAAGTCTGTAACTTTCTAGAAAGCAGAGTATTTGCACACACGTTTTTTGTAGCAAAATCAATCTGAGACAAATAAGCTAAAAACTAAATTACTACAAAGACAGAATGGGACTCTGAAGTGGTGCAGCACCGAACTTCACACTGTCACAGCTTTATTATTGATGGTCAAAAGATGGTATTTTCTGTGGAAAAAATTAGAAAATTTAGAAAATGTTCCAGTGTTTGTTGTCTGAAAAAAATAAAAATATTATTTTTTCTGTTTTTCATTGAATAAATAAAATAAATATTTTCTTCAGGAAAAACAGGCCAATTTTGTCTGAAAAAAATAGATAGAAAATTTTCAGCCTGCTCTGACTATCATGCAGTAAATACAAAAGCTGCCTCAACAGAATATTGAGCATTATAAATATATATGGATTCAGTGTAAATGTCAAGTTCTCCTACTCCACAAATAAAAGCTATACTTATTTTTAACTTTTGACTTTTACACCTACTTGTTCTTAACTTCCTGAAAACCCTGTCAAGCTCTTTATCATTAAAGGTAAGTTTGTAGGGTTAACCTGGATGTCAGTGAAAGATACACTGCACAGGAAAAGGAATAGATAAAGATCAACTACTGTTAAGTGTTGCAGATTCATCAGACCTCACTATCTGATCAACAAATGGAAGGTGTGTTATTTTTCCTACAGTAAATCAGTTTCATTTCAGATACATAGCTTTCAGTCAGAGCTGTCTAAGATAAGGTTAGAAGAGTCCAAGTATGCAGAATTTTGACACGTGTTCCAATACAGACTTTTTCCAAACTTTTTCTTTTTGCTGTGCCCTCCTTCTCCATGGAAGTCAGATAAGCGCCACACCCACCCTGCCCCATCTCCCATCCCTCTGGGACAGAAACTGGGGTGGTGGCAAGATCCAGCTGGCTCTATTCCCACATGAGCCCATGGCAGCTTGGCACGGAGCAAACCAGGATCCTTGCCCTCCTCCCCTCCACCCCCTTCCAGAGCCTCTCGCTCGTGCAGGTCCTGGAGGGTTTAAAATATGCAGGGCTGCGGCCTGCCAGTTATCTGGGCTGGGGCAGCAGAGAGAGCTCACAGGAGTCCCCAGTGGTCAGGGAGTGGAGAAGGGGGAGAGCAGCAGGTTACTGCCAGAGCAGGATGGTGCTGCTTACTCTTCTCCCTGACCAGTGGGGACTCCCTGTGCATTCTCTCCACTGCTGCCCGGCCCTGGTTCAGACCCATCTGACCCCAGCCCTGCACCCCACCTTGTGCCTCCAATTACCTCATTGCACCACACAGTTCGAAAACCAATGTTTTAATACTATTTTAAACTAAACTATAGCATTAGACTAAGAGTATTGAGGAAATTTTAGGCCTTAGGTCTTTGACAATGAATATGTAGTTTTTCCACTTGTTAGCTCTTGGAAATTATTATTACTACCACTATTTCGGTGGGTCTGTAGATGTGCATGGAACTTTACAGAACTAGTGAAAGGATACGTCCCTTCAGAAAAGAGTTTATAATCTAAAACCCCGATTCAGGAAAACAATTACATGTATGCTTTAGAAAAATTCCTATTGATTATCAGTGGGACCAGGATTTCAGCTCATGACCACATATACCGGTATATATATAAGTTCAGTTATAACAATGGTGTCCAGCTTTTGCAACCCTATTTTCCAGTTGGATTGGCTGAAGCACAAGGAGGTCAAATGAGGTGTCCAAGGTCCCACATTGAGTCAGACGCTCAGGTTGGACTTAACCCCAAGATCATCTTGGCTCCCCTTCTTTTGTTGTAACTACTTGACCGAATGGCTTATTTATATTCCTCTATGCAGTTGTATCAATTTTAGTTTTTAACATCTTTGTACTTTAGAGTGTCTTGTCAAACCTTGCACATTACTTCTCTCCTCATCAGCGCGCTGACAAATACTACCGTGTTATGGCAATCAGTTAAGGTCAGCTTCATCGCTGTGCTCCTGATTCAGGAGAGCATTTTCCTTGAATGTGTGCTTAAAGTTAAGCATACATAAGTCCTATTGACATCTCTGGGACTTAATAAAAGCTTTATAATTAAGCACATGCTGAAATGTTAAAGGCCCATTCACTATTCTGCTCTTTGAGAACAGCGTTTGACTGAACTGAAATACTCATGTATTCACAGCTGATGTGAAGCAATTATTCATCTCATCCATGGACTTAATACTCCAACACATCATCAGTAGCCTTGAAACAAGGAGCACATTACAAGACTTATTATTTACAGAACAATTACAAGTATTTCAATTGTTAAACTACAGCACAAATATCCTCAAGTATACTATTCTGCCTGAAGAACAATGGCATAAACCTATGCTGGCAAAGGGCAGGGACCACTCGTGGATGGTAAGGATTAATTAGTCAAGGTTTAATGTAAAGAATATGAAAAGGCTGTGTCAGGTTAAGGACACTCTTCCCTGATCCTTGCACTTTTGCTGGCATGGGAACATGAAGAACATCAAGTGATTAAAAGTAGCTTGAGAAAGACACTAACTAATGTCTGCCTATTACAGAGTTTAGATGCTTAAGGCTGCCTGCAATGCTTGCTATCGTTTGAGTATTAAAAACAGTAAATCATAACTACACCATACCAGAACAGTATTTCATGACTACAGAAACCTGTTAAAATTACTCATACTTTGTACCAATAAAAAATCCTTGTAAAAGTATAACTTTAGCATTTTGTATTCCTGTTTTGTTTGTTAATTGTTGATGTAAAACGTGTAGGATAAAATATACAGAATGTGCAGCATGATCAGTTAGTAACCTAGATATGTACTGATAAATATGCACAATCCAAGGGCAAGTCAAGGGGGAGGGGACAGGAGGCCACCTCCACCCAAACTGCAGGCTAAACAATAGGTATAGTTCTTTCTCCTTTCCTTCCAGGCTCACTCCTCCTCGTCCTCACTTCAATCATTGTATCTGTTATACTGGGAAGGCCCCTTTCCCACCCTCACCAACCTCAGCTGACAAAGGCTACAGGATAGAAAGAAGGACTGTTCCTGCTGTGCATCCGTCACCCAGTCCATAGGGAATGATGAGGGCAGAGAAGGCCATTTGAACTACCTCTTCTGACAGTTCTCATGGAGTCTCTTTTCTTTCCATCTTGGAGGAGGAGAGACAGTAAGGGACAAAGAGGGATTCAGAGAGACCCAGAGATGATCTGAGAGTGAGGGGTCCTGAGAGACCCAGACAGAAAGCTGAGGGGGGCTGAGACAGCCATGGGTTCTTAGAAACTCAGAGAGGCAGAGTGTGCATATGAGATGGAGGATCCCACTTGGGGTGAAGTTCTGAATAATTGAGCTTTATGTGTTGGAAGTGGCCAGGTGTGTAAGAGTGACTGAGTGATAGAGAGAAATCCAGCCCACCTCAGTTAACAGCCAGACTGGGGGGGTTGCAGATGAGCTATTACTCTTGATGAGCTGTAGACCTAGGCCCCTAAGAAATCCCTAAAATGTCTCTGGGAGACTTTGCATTCCCCAGTCCCATTTTTTCTTCCACAGGATCCTCAATTTAGAGTGGATATCTGGCAAAGTGGTTGCTCAGGAAGGGCATGACTCTACATTAATGCAGAGCAAACCTCTACGATTTGGTCTGGATGAGTATCCAAATATGTAGCTGTTTAGCTGAAATTTGTAGGAACTTATCTGAACTATTTTGAGTTAGAATTCAGGCTGAAAATATCACAATAGCTTGTCTCACGGTCTTGGTACTTCCAAGTCCAGTGAAAGCAGCAAGTGCAAATAAGCATAAAAGGGAAAACAAAACACACACAGAGAAAGCTAATAACTTCTTGAACCTCAAACAAGATCCAGTTCAGGTTCATTTCAAGCTGAGACTACAGATCAGCTACTGTTTTATCCAAACCATTGTTTGCTGATCTGTACTACAAACGCCAGTAAATTTCATGGCTCTCACCAAGGGCTAAAGGGAAGGAACAGTGAATGGGAAGAGAGGATGTTGAAGATCTTCCTTTGCAGGAAGACAAAGACAAAAATGTTTTAATATACTTCTAGGAAGCAAACCTGGGACATGGGAGATCTAATTTCAATTTCCTGCTCTATCACAGGCATCACTTAGCCTCTCTGTGCCGCAGTTCCCATCTGTAAAATAGGGATGATAGCCATGCCCTACCTCACAGAGCTGTTGTGAGGCATTCATATATTTCTGGGAGAGGGGCAATAATAGTATCTGAGATAATTTTTCAGGAATTTTTCCTATTTGAGGAAAAAGTCTAATTTGTGGACTTTGGCAGAAGTCACCATTATTTTAAATGTGTTTATGTCTCCAATTAAAATGAGAACATAACATTGAATGTAAGTTTACACACTTACTTTCATAGTCCTGTAGATTCTCAACTGCAGAAAGTAACCTTGCCCTGTCTTCTGGGTTTGTAATATTTAGTTCAATCAAATGGCTGTCCTGTAGCTCCTTTAAATCCTCCAAAGTCTCATAGCCATTTAGCAAGAGGGTTGATGAGTATTCCTACAAAAAGAAAAGCAAACAATTCCTTTAGTAAGCAATCAGCAGGTTCAGTGAGAGACATAACCATAATTTCTCTCTTTCATTTTTTTTGGTGGAAATGGGGAGAAAAGTCATCATGACTCCTGGAGCACCGAGTCCCCCAATCAGCAACATTGCCTCTGGGCTTGTTTTAAAGAGAGCTGTCAAGTTACTGTTCCCTCCCTTGTCCTGCCCATAACACAAGACATCCTGCAATGTGTCTCAGAGTACCTCAGATATACTAACACTTTACATTCAGATTGGGTTTATTTAGCTGAACTGCAGCATTGTTTAATCTATTGCTATCCAGAGGGCCAGACCCTCAGCTGGTGTAAATCAGAGAATCTTCATTGAATCTGATTTATAGCATCTGAGGATCCGGCCCAGTGTCTGTAACGCTCCCATATTAATCTGAGAAACATGAGAATTGTTTCATAGAAGACTTTGTGTGGTGTTTCTGTTGGAAAGTCAGGTTTTCTATTTTCATCAGTGGACTGCTAGAAACTGCAGCGCATACCCATAACAGGCATTGCTTAGTGTCTACTGCATAAGATAAGCCATTCTAAAGGTCACAGAATGAAATTAAGTGCATTATTGTCCTTTCCCCCACCCCAATTAGTTATTGTTAAATTAAAGTTGGATTACCTGGAGGGATAACACTGACACAGAACCAAGAATATGATTCATTAACAGGTCAGGGGGAAAAAATAACCTTTCAAGACGTGAAGAGAGCGTTTCCATTTAGATGGACTTGAACCAAGCCCCTTCATTCCAATACCCCCAAATTTCAGTGCTTGGCCCAAACAGGACAAACCAAAATAGGACAAACCAAAACTCCAGATTCAGTCACCACTAAACTTTGCAAATGTTTGGATCTGGGCCTGAACTTTGTAGCTTGGGTCCCCTTTCTAATTTTAACATAATATACTTTCTGAACATATTTTCCCTCTCCTTTTATAGGAGTAAACTAAGTCTAGAGCTGGAACCAGGAGCTTCTGTGTTCTAGTCTCGACTCACTGCTATCTCAGGCTGTGACACTGGGCCATTCACAACCTCTCTGCATCTCAAGTTCCTGAACTGTAAAATGAAGATCAGTGGCCAAATTTGAGTCACGTGAGGGATACATTTGACCCAATAATATTTACAACACTAACATGCAGTAGGAAGTTTTGAGGATTAATTAGGGTTTGCAAACTGCTTTGAAATTGCAGTGTCATATAATACTGTCATTATTATTATTTTATGTCTGTGTCACAATAATTATTCCATTGATAAAACAGCCTAAGAAGAAGCATTCAAATTTTCTGTATCCAGAAAACAATTTGAGTCCAGCTCCATAAGCAGGCTGGGTATTTTATTTACACTGGTGCCAGCCAGAGGGAGCATGCAGAGAACCATGTAGATGGCTGTAGGACTAATGCATTGTTACTCCTGGTGCCCCCAACTGTGTGTGTGTTGTCCCAGTGTCTGAGTGTGTGTGTGTGTGTGTGTATTCCTGCAGAGAGAAGTGATTCATTCCCACACAAATACCAGTGCCATAACATTGCTGTTATTATTCTCATTTATCGTTTGTATTGCAGTAATATCTAGAGACCCAATCAGAAATTGGGGCCCATTGGGCTACGCACACTACACACCTATACTAAAAAAAGACTACCTCTTCCCCAAGGACCTTACCAACTAAGAAAAAGGCATATTAAGTGAAGGATTAATGCACTCTCATGCCTCGTTTTGCCAACCACCACCCTCAGATCCACAGATCCACTGGCTAGGTAATGGAAGGAAGTAGCATCTTCTGGGCTACCGATAGGATATTTCCCAAGCTGCTGGAGCCTGCCATTTTGGCCCTGGCTTTGATGTAAAAATAAGAGCAAATGCACAGAAAGAAAATAAAACACAAAACTGGAAATGTGTTTGCTGACCTGAAGATGGACCCGTTCCAAAAGTTCCTGCAGAGTTTTAGGTTTGGCCCTTTTGCTCCCTCTGTGTGCCTTTATCTTTCTAGGTGTAGCTTCCGCTTCCAAAATAATATCGACGTAAATGAATTTGAAGTTCCCCACCTTGTTATTCAGCATGCCTGTCCACATACCCATGGGGGTTTTGCAGATGATGTCTATAATGTCTCCTTTCTAGAGAAAAAAAAAGTGCACCAAATCTGAGGCAGATGATTTGTGATATGTAACCTGTTACCTCAATGGAGCAAGAACAGACGACATCGTATGTCAGGTATGAAAACACATAAGAACATAAGAAAGGCCGTACCGGGTCAGACCAAAGGTCCATCTAGCCCAGTATCCTGTCTACCGACAGTGGCCAATGCCAGGTGCCCCAGAGGGAGTGAACCTAACAGGCAATGATCAAGTGATCTCTCTCCTGCCATCCATCTCCAACTTCTGACAGACAGAGGCTAGGGACACCATTCCTTACCCATCCTGGCTAATAGCCATTAATGGACTTAACCACTATGAATTTATCCAGTTCTCTTTTAAACTCTGTTATAGTCCTAGCCTTCACAACCTCCTCAGGTAAGGAGTTCCACAAGTTGACTGTGTGCTGCGTAAAGAAGAACTTCCTTTTATTTGTTCACATGAAATGAAAGCTAAGGAAATATTTGCCCCCAGCCCCATGAAGCGAAAACACTATGCTTTTGGAAAGGTCTCATTTCTACATATTGAGAGGGGGATTTGGATCTGGATCCAGATTAGGTTCAGCCTGGGGTTCAAAGCCAACTCAGAGCTAAGGTTTGTGTTTTGATTGAACGGTGCTGCAATTTTATGGGCTGTACTCACGAGTTTTGAGCCCCAAGCAGCAGGCAGCTCACAACTTTAAAGCAAGCTGCCTTAATAGTGAAAAATGTACATGACCTCATTGTTATGCCATCTGATCACCAAATAGCTGATTTGAAAAAAGACAACAACACTGAGGTGGTTGGGGAAGTAATGAACTAACTGGTTGTGAAAACGACCACCAAGCAAAGGCAGAGGTTGAGGATACAATAGAGTAATAGATAAACTGGGCAGGACTATATCATATAGTGGTTTAAAGGTGACAGTTGGAAGTTTATATTTGATGCAGGGGAGAAGGAGGAGTCAGCAGAATAGCTTACAGGGGTAACATAATCAAAGCAACACTCAAGAAAGATGATTTTGGGAGCAGTATTTTAAATGGACAGACTCAAGATCTGGACACACCCTGGATGAGAGGGCAAACTCAAAAATACTGTGATAGGGTGGAGTCCCATGACTCAGGGTCCCTGCAATAGTAGGACTGACAACTCTGTATGAACTAGCCCTGTACAAAGGTATTGCTAAACTGACTGTGTCTGTTTTAAAGTGTCATATATCCTTAAAAGTCAGAAATGAACGAACAGACCCCTTCCCTAACAAATGTCTCAGATATCTCTACTGCACAAAGCAATTTTGATGATGGTCTCACCTTGATTTTGAGAGAGTCAGTGTCATAAGGACTCGGTGTGAAGTCGGTGTGCACTTTGGCTCGTCCACAGAATGGTCCAGTGTAAGGGACTTCATCATCAAGTCTAAAGCTGTCCCTGTTGCTGGTTCCATCTGAACAGCTAGTCACTCCACCTAATGGAGAGGAGAATGAAGATTTAAATCCCCTTCCTTGAACTACTAGATATTCAATTTTGTATAGAAATGGAGAGGCTAATATGCAAAGCACAGAATTAAAAGACTGTACTCAGAGAGTTTTCACACATTCCAAGAAAAATATATTCAATAATCAAACGTACTATGAAAGGCTAAACAAAATAAGTTGGAGTCCTTTAATTTATTCTGTGCAGTAATCCTTTATGATGCTGATGCTAATAGACTGCTCATTTTACTTATGAGCTTGTTTGAATATTACCTCTGCAGATTAATAATATGTATTTTAAAACTGCAATGTAGGGAATTATAGCTGCTGAACTTGTCCTGTTTATTCAGAGAAACTGAAACAAATACTGCAGAAACTACTTTATTTTATTATATTATAAAGTAGGACCTCAACGCACCTACATTACAGAGGGAAATTTTAATCTTATCTACATTTCTACCTGTCATTTTATCCAAGTTGGGTAATAAAACATCAGTAGAGTAAGTCAGGCAAATTGAAGCAAGCTCTGCAAAATCCCATCCAAGTATGTTTTTAGATAAGAGCAGCACTGTGTTGGAAGTAAACTCCCATATAGTTTGTACAAATCACATCAGAGAAAATGACCATAAAAATCATTTGACTTGATGTGGTTGTTCAAGTGCACAGCTACAACTCAGGGCCAGATTAACCACTAAGTACAAATAGCCTGTGCCTACAGAACCCACTCATATCAGATTATATATGTGGTGACACCAGTGCAACATCATCATGTACAGGCTTTGGGAAGCAGTTTGCCTACAGCATGGCAGCAGATAGCCCCCTGCAGGAGGCTGCCAAACAGGAACCCCACTGCCCCTTGGAGAGTTACATGCCTCCCCAAACCTCCAGCTTATGCTACCTGGTGGGGGGAATAGCAGATTTTTGGTGGGTTGGGAAGGAGGCAGACCTTGGTCCTCTGCTGCCTTTGTGTTGGCTGGGTTCTCCCATCTCCTCCAGAGCAGCAGAGTCAGGCTGGGTAACTCCTTTTGGCTAATCCATCTGCAGACTGGGGGCAGTGGGTTCCCAGCCACCCTAAGAGAAGGCTCGTATGTGGGTGACCCTGCAATCACGACTCCACAGGTGATGGGGCCATGGCAGCGAGAGGCCTAGGGCCAGCTCTGACATTTAAGGCTTTTGTATCAATAGGCAGGAAGTCAGGCTTGTTGAAAAGCTCAAGTTTAATTATTGTGGGGTTAAATTTTGGTTCTAATTACGAAAATGGGCAAAGTCTGATTCACAGATGGTAAAGCCAGAAGGAACTACTGTACTAACGTACCTCTGACCGCCTGTATAACACAGGCTGTATGACTTCCCTGAATTAACTCCTGTTTGAGCTAGAGCAGATCTTTCAGAAAAACATCCTGATTTAAAAACTGCCAGTAAAGAATCCAGAAAAAGCCTTGGCAAATTGTTCCAAAGGCTAATTAACCTCAAGGTTAAAAAACTGCACATTACTTCCAATCTGAATTTCTCTAGCTTTAATATCCAGCCGTTGGATCTTGTTATAGCTTTGTCTGCTAGCATAAAAATCCTCGTGTTATCAAATTTCTGTTCCCCAGTGCCAACAACTCAAGGTGTACTCAATAATAAATAATAAATAATAAAGAAAGAGACTGAACAGGACTATGATTTTTTTGTACTTACTAGAAGAGCTCTGGCCACTATTCAAACTATAGAGACTGTCCATGGAGTCACTGGCTTTTAAGCAGACCTTCTCAGTGTGTGTTCCATCCCCAGGGTCACTATGCGAGTAGCAGACTTCTTTTCCTTCTTCATTCTTCAGCAATAAAAATCAGTGGTTAGATGCAGTGAAATAGATTTTATATGCACAGCTGACACGCAATATCTTGTGCACATTTACTTTGCCTATCCACAATGATTCTAAAAAACCCTATTATTATAGTTTAGTTGCAGTTTAAGAAAGCTTCTTTCACTACCAACCATTACAAGGGAGGAAGCATTTTTCGTGGTTATACCATGGGGCTGGGAATCAGGAATTCAGGGTTCAATTCCCAGCTCCACAACTTACTCACCCTGTGACCATTGACATGTCACTTACCCTTTCTGTGCCTCAATTTCCCCAGTGACTGCCCTCCAGAAAAGGACACTGGCTAAATTCATCCCTGATCTCCGTGGAATTACAACAGTAGTGAATCTGGCACAACAGTTACATCCATCTGAGGCTTATCAAGGGGAAATCCTAGATAGCCAGATAAGAGACTTTCTGGCTGCTTTGCCTCACCAGAGCAGGGGCCAAAATCTATCCCAAAGTTTTTCACCTTTCATGTTTTGTAAGTTATCTTTGCTAATTTTAGAAGTTCAGGCGGAAAATACAAAATCATCTGAGGCCTAATTCAAAAAGGCTACGTCTTCCACATACTCAGGAAGCCCATAGGAGCAGGAAGGGAACCATTAGCTGCAACTGCTATGTCTTGCAAAGAGCTTTCCCAGAACCTGGACTCTACTGGCCTTCTGCAGCTAGAATCAAGGTCAGGGCTTTCCAGAGCCAGCCTTCCAGATGGGAGTGTGGATGATCAGCTATCACACTCCCTGAGTTGGCTGTTCAAGTCTCATAACAAAAATTCTGCTTTTACAAAATTAACATAGGCCCATTTCCCTCACAAAATCATCTAAGGCCTGGGTACTGGACCTTAGAGGTTATATTATTAAATGCTACCTCTCAAAGCATAGCTTATAGAGTTTGCAAAGATTAGAAAGTATGACCCATGCTTCAGTCACCACTTCATTTAAAGCAGATGTAATAGCTAAATGGAACAATGATGATTTCCAAAGGAAGCCGGTTCTTTACCGTATTGCATTACATTGTCAACGTAGCGTGACATGCTGATGTAACCTGGATATCATATGCCCTGTGGGATATTGCATCAAACTAAGGAAAATGTTAAACATCCGTTATTTGGCTCATAGAGTGGATCAAAGGTGATAGCACATTTGTGGAGTGGGCCCAGGGCCCCTGATGTGGGACTAATCTCTAGAAACTCACTTCCTCTTCCCATGCAGATGCACATAAATCAAGGATGACTGGTTTCCAGCAGGGAGAATGCTAGTTACACCATTCTATTGCACCCTGCACTAGTTAATCAGTTGAGAAGCACTGAATGTATTAGTTACAGGGGAAAAGAAGATTGTATGTGTCGTCTGTTTCTTTTGTATGAAGAATTAATTTAACTACACAGAAATAAATGTGGCACTCCTGTTTATTCTTTCTCATAATACAAAAACAACTGGACACATAATGAAAATGAAACTCAAATATAAAACTAATAAAAGGAAATACATTTTTAATGCACAGTATGTGATTAAAATGTGGAACTCACTGCCAGAAGATATTGAGGAAAAAGGTTTAGTTAGATTCAAAAACGATTTTACATTTATTTTTATATATAATAAGAATATCTGCTGTTGCATTAGATAAGATAAAAATGTATGAGGGATATAAACCCTCCTGCTTCAGGACATAAGCCTAACAGGGATTAGGAAGAATTCCTGCATGCAGGTTATTCCATAAATGTCCACCGTGAGAATTCTTCTGAAGCATCTAGTATTGGCTTTGGTCAGAGACAGGATACGAGACTAAATGGACCACTGATCTGATTCAGTATGGTAATTCCAATGTATCTCATTTTGGATCAGATTTTTCCTGGTCCTTACACAGATGGACAGTTAGTGAGGAGTGTTTAAGAAGCTTTCCACTCACTTGCATGGCTGTATTCATGGATGGATGGATGGATGCACACACAGTCTTTTCACTGTTGGCAAAGCAAAATCTCCCCTTTCCCAATGGTATAAAACTCTCGTCTCTATCCTGGACCCCAGGAGGGTGAAATTGTGCGCACGCGTGTGTGCGTGCGTGTGAGAGGGAGAGAGAATATGCGTACACAGGGGAGGAAAGGCGTGGAGGGAAAGAATTGATATATAATTGAGGTAACTACTGTTTTAATTCAATATGTGTCACTAAGTTATATACACCTGAACTCTGGTACATCAATACTAGTTTATAACATGCTACCAAAAAACAATGAAATAAACACACACAAAATTTCTAATGTAATTGATCATACAAATCCAAAGATTTTTTTAAGCATATTTACCATGTCCTCAGAGAGTGCCTTGATGTACTTTTTACCCATCTTTTTCTTCATGGTTAGGGAAATGGCCCGCATCTTCTTTCCCAGGCTTCCTCCATTACCTGCCATTTTATTTTGTCCTGGATCTCCAATGTCACTTACAGTCTCCACTTCACATATCTAATTTGAAATTTAAAAAAACCCAAACCATTATTACTCATGAAAATAAAATCAGATGTAATGGAATGAGAGACTGCAGAGAGATATTTTGGATTCAGGTAAGGTGCATGAAAGTTATTATTAGCAGTTCTTCTAGCTTTAGAACTGTCTGGGGAATTATATGTACACAACAGGCTTGCACTTCGCTTAAGTACTCACAAATGGGATATAGAAAATGTTGTACAAATTGATGCTCACCTTATTTATGATCCCTGATCCAAATGAGAGTGGTGGGAATTTACTTAACACACTTGAAGACAGAAAGCCACATCTCCAGGATGCTAGCATAAGGCCACTATTGTAGAAGGAGCCCTCTGAAGTGTAGGTTTTCCTGAGTTCTAGCTGCCCTTTCTTTTTTTAAAACAGAAATGACCCTGTCCTTTGCACTACGCAAATATTAAGGGCTTGATTGTGCAACCTTACTCTGGTTGCTAAGCACTCGGTCACGCAAGTAGTTCCCATTGATTTCAACAGGAGCACGCACGTGAGCAAGTGCGCACCAATGCATGTTTTACACCACTGAACCCTACTGTTTCCCCAACAGTCACAGGGAGAGGGAGTAACAGAAGTAGATTATTGCAACATACAAACCTCAACTGAATCATCTGGCTTTGATACTGAATGGTGCCTAAAACGGTCAAAGTTTCCAAAACTACTTGTGCGCTATAAGACAAAATAAATAAACAAAATTGAGTTCATTGACAATATTCTTTTTCATTATTAAGACAAATACAAATTCTCTCTCTTATGTTAAAACTTCTTTGCCTATGAATGGAACATAACATGCTATTTTCAAGTAGAGAGAGACACAGCCTTAGAGGTGCCTATAGGGACAAAATATGAGTGTATATCTGGAGACAAAGCAACCTGAATCAAAGACATTGTTAACAATGCATGGAATTAGATTATGCGTATGATTATAGGAGCTCATGTACACCAGTTTCACATCCGTAGCTTACATTGACTTCAGTGAGTTATCGTCATTTACTCTGGTGATAAGGGAGATCACAATCAGGCCATTTACATTTAGTATTAACCAACGTAGGTGCTTTGGAGGACACCAGTTCTATTACTGTAGCTGTTCAATTAACTTTATACAGTTTATCCTTCCTACTGGGAACTGCAGCTGAAGACTGTTTAAGGCTCTTTAGTTTGGGCTAGATTCAGTTCCCACTGGAGGCAACGGAAAGCCTCTCACTGGCTTCACTGGGAATTGAATTGGCCCTTAAGAGAGAGTTCCAAATAAAGACCTTTACGCTTATTTATGTGCGGGAACATAACGAAACCAAGTGAAACAAACAGAGTAATTAGTAAGCTCCACATTTTTCAAAAATAGCCTCTAATTTAGGTGCCCAATTTTTAAACACACACGGACTCACTTCCCTCCTATGCCAGAGCTCTGAGCTCTGTTCGGTGCAGGGATGGGTTGATATCAGGGAGCTGGTTGCAGCTCCCTAAGCCTGTATTGCCTGGCCATGGCATTGCAGCACCTAAGGAAGCTGCACTAATTTGTACCACTGGCACAATTGTGGAGAACTGGCATATCAAAGCTCCGCTCTGCTTCCACCATGCCTCCTTATTGCTGCCACACACATCCAATGCTGAGGATAAGGCTGACACTGGAGTTAGCATTGAAGACTATGTCAGCTTTACAGCAGTGGGGAGTTCCCCTCCACAAGAGAATGATCTTCGGTCCATTTCCAGACAGAATCCTTTCACTTTGCATTGCCTGAGTGGCCAAAGTGTACTGAGCACACAGAATAATCTGGTCCGGTAGCTGTCTAATGTTTATCATCCAAAAATTGAAACACCCAAGTTAGAAGCTCCTTTATCTGAACCTAATAAATCAACTGCCAGAGTTTCTAGACTTGTAACAGTATCTTTTAAGAGATCAGTTTAGGTTTTTCACAGTTATTCAAAGCTAAGCCAAGAGCTAACCCTTCTAATTTCTATTCTTACATATAAGATAGAGAAAATGACCTGTAATACACTCACAAGATTATTGCTTGTTTTATTTTATTTTTATACTTTGTGTGCCCTTCTCAGTAGGTATCTGGGTATCCAAAACCTTCTATTTGCATAATTTGGAAGGGAAATGCACTAAACTTAATAGTAAATATCAAACTGCACGAATAGTGTACATTTCGGAATTCTGCTCCAGAAACTATATGTCTTAAAACTTCTGGGTTAAAGAATTGCTCATATTCATTTATCCATTCCTCCCTCACTGTGACTTCAGCCTGCCTAATGGATTGCTTGTTCTCTCTTTTTCTTTCCATCTGGTGATTCTAACAGTCCTTCTCTCCTTCCACCTGCCGCAGGTATTTAAAATGCTTGTCATATTTCCCTCCCATCAACCATAACAGGTATCCCCAGCCGTCTATCTCTCTAGCTTCTTTAACTTTAAGATAACTTTACAGGAGGCTTTATCAGGTGTGATGTCTGAGGCCTTGTCCACCAGCCTACTGAAGTCTCATGAGCTTCCAAGGCTTCTCCATCAAATATACCTCTGAATATATTGCAGTTTTGAGAAGGAAGCTTCACAAGTGATTGAGGTTTCCCTTGAGTGATGTGTAAGCAAAATGAAGGGTGATTAAGGCACTGGACTGGGATTCAGAAACCCAGTGTTCAATATTTAGGTCTGGCACAAACTCCCTTTGTCACCTTGGGTAAGTTCCTTCAGGTGGTATTTCCAAAAAATGTTACACATTGGAATAACTCAGTTTACATGAAGTTAACAGGAAAACTTCCATTTACTTCAGTAGGAGCAGAATTTGAAAATACCATCCCTTTGAAAAGGACTTTTGAAAAACCATCCTTATTCTCGTCATGCCACAGTGCTTGATTTATAAAATGCGAATAATGCTACCATGAGGATAAATTCATGTGTTTGTGAGGTACTCATATACTACAGTCGTGGGTGCCTTACGAGAACTAGACTGATGAACTAACCCTCGCTGTGTATGTTCTTATATCATCCCATTTATGTGTTATCTGAACACCACTCATGTCCTTTCATGAAGTGTTCTTAAAAGCAGGGGATCTGAAACTCTTATGGCATTCAACTCTGATGGAGTTGAGATCTGAATAACAATTTAACCTTATGGTAATTTTCTGAGTGATGATACAGATCTGTACCTTTTTCTACCCATAATTAATAAGCTGCAGTTTACTTCTATGTATTTGTATACTGTCCTTTTCTGGGTATAGTTAGCCCTCTAAGAGTCTCATCAGTAAACTGTCATACTTCTGACTGTTGTACAGGGTGACAAGTTGACATTCAACGTCAGCAACTGTGATCTTAAGGCTGATGCTCATCAAAATGATACCAACTATCCTGTGTACACATATACCTCCCCTGGGTATTTCCATCTAGGAAAGACCCCATCTTATTCTGTCCCTGCTCATAAATCACAGGGTCACTATCCATTTTAGCTCCCGTATCTCTCTCACACAGTCACTTTTAAACTAAAAATAGTTGACGAGGGAGGGGAGAGAGAGGTGACAGTGGAAAACTACAGAAAAATAGCAGGTCTTAAAATCTCTATTTTCTTCTAAAGAAAAAAATAATTCAGGATCACCTTTTACACAATTCAGATTAAAAATTCCCTGCTAGCCCAATCCTCTCTTCCCCAAACATATACAAACTATTTCTTATTGGAGCTGGTTAGAAAACAATCTGTGTTTTGGGGGAAATTTTCAGAAAACATTTTTTTTCACCAAAATATTGTTTCAGTGAAAAGTTTACAGCCAGAGTGACCTCTCCCAGTAATGTGAGGTTGGTCTCTCACTGATCTTCGGTTTGTAATAGGGTTCTAGTCCTGAGAAGACATTCTGTGGCATATATTTGTTGAGTCTTCTAGCCCGATATCTTGTTTTTTTGTGTTATTTTTGTTTATTTCATTTTGATTGTTTTGGCATTAGCGTGGTTTACAAAATTATTACATGAAATATATTTGTATATATTCATTAACTCAAATGCTGACTTAGTCATTTTAAAAAGGTATTTATTTTTTATTTGTGGTGTCTCTTAATTGATTGTAATCCATCAGAAAATCTGTTGGAGAAAACTACTAAGAATTGGTTAAAGGACAATTTAGTCTGTGCAGTTTAATTTTATTTAAAGCTCTCAGAAATAACTTCTATATTTACTAGATCAACAATATCATATGACAAGGGGTTAGCTCAATAGTATGATATAAAACATAGCCCCAAGGATTATGGGTCTATTAGACAGGATTAACACCTTTCACTGACTTGTCAGCCTTGCCAAATATGCCCCTCAGCAGAGTGGGAGGGATGGAAAGAGGGAGGCTGGGAATCACAACAATATTGGGAAAATATAAAACATTCTCATGCAGTGAACTCTAAACATACAGTGACCTTTTTGTAGCATTCCATCATTTCAAGCTGCCTACTAGGAATAACTGTATATTAAAGTGCTGATGTGCTTCAGATAGTCTAAAAAAGAACAGAGGAAAAGGATTTATTGTTGCTCTTACTCATAAACAACTTGAGCACAGGGAAATCGGTTATTCTTTTTAGAGCCTTGAAACAACCTTATATCCTATCTGGACAGACGCCTTGGGCTATTTTGTAGTATACTTCAGTGTTGCTTCAGAGCTATTAAATATTAATAAGGGTTACAGGATGATTTCCACCGTTCCAGATAATGGTCTTGTTGCACAGAAGAGCACTAAATAGGGCTGCTTCAGCAATTCTCCCATACTAACTTTTTCCATTAAGTAATCAATAGCTACCACCTTTTAAAATGTATTCAACCCCATTATACCGATAAAGAAAAGCAGATTTAGGAGCCCTGGGCTCGGAGGGGAACAAGGCTATTACTTTTGGTATTGTCAGTCACCGCATTAGTGTCAGGGAACACCTATTTTGTGAAGGCATAGTCATAATCTGTAGGCCTCATTTCCAGGTTAAGGGAAGATCTTAAAGCAAATGCAAATCTACTAGATGAAAATATGTCATTGATTATATCTTATAAAACTAAGTGATTTTGCTGGCTGGATTCACACAAGAGTTACTGATGGGTGCATTAAGCAAATGTGAATTTGCACAATGAAATCTAATGCAGGCATGTGAAAAAAACACCCTTATTTTTCCACAGAAGGACCGTATCATTTATTTAGATTCAGTAAAGGAACATTGCTGGCTTGCGTTCCATTTGCGCTCTAATATCCAATAAACATAACACGAAAAGGCAAACATATCAAATTGTTTGTAATGACTCGTCTATCTTCTGCTGCTTCTTTCATTCCCAGAAATTTGGGATTTTTTAAATAACCCCTTTAAAGCTGTGAAAATACACATTTATTTTTATTTTGATCACATTTTTACTTGCCTGTGAGTTATTCTTAAAATCTTCAATGAAGTTTAAAAGAAGGGCAAAGAATAGAAAACAAACCAAAATGTTTGGCGTACAAATGGAAAACAACAGACACTAAAATCTATGGGATACTTTGTCTTCCTATTATAAACTATATATTTCCTAATTAGAGTACAAGACAGGTACTTCTTATTGACAAATTAGTCAGAGTCTTCTGTATCTCAAAAGCTAGCCTATGTGCCACAAGTGACAGTGGTTGCCTTAGTAAATATTGATTATGGGTGAAATTCAGCCTGGTTATATCTCCAAAGGACATTCA